TATCTTTTTATTTTTGATCAGTTTCATATATATATATATATATATATATATATATATATATATATATTTTACTGTATTCTAATTACTTTCATCCCAAACCTCTTTAGTATCCCTTCAATGCACTGTTAATATCTCCCCCTTGCTTTCATATTAATGCGTTTTATTTTATTTTGTAGTCAGTTGAGTCTTACTAGGGCTGTCTGTGTGAATATGAATCTTTACTATCCAGTTGACTTGGTGAGCTCACAAGAACTGAAGTCAATGACTCTACATCCTCAGAAATTTCATCTGAGAGATAGCACTTAATGAGCTTTTCTACATCTATGACTTATGGTTTGACATTTCAAGTCCTGTGCAAACCTAATGCAGACAAGCTCAGCTTCCATCAGTTCAAAATTTCTGTGGATGTGTCAGCCTGAAAAGATGACATCTCAATGCCATCCCTTTGGTTTTCTAGTTTTCACATTTTTTTCTGCCCATACCACTGATTTCTCTCAGACTCTTAGAAGTATTGACATAAATGTCTCGTTTTAGGACTAAGTGCTCAACAATCACTTCTTCTTGGCACAGTTAACACCCAGAAATACCGGCCTTCACAGCTTTTATTCTAAAGAAAACCTTTTATTATTAAGTTTCTGAGTTGTATGTGTCTATGGGTATAAACATTAATTTTTAAAAACTGCTTAATAGTTTATCAGTTTATGCAAAATAGTATCAAGTTCCACTTAGGGTTCAAAACATCTCCAGCCATGGTAACTGACTGATTGTAAATTACCAAGATTTAATTACCACCTATGCAGCAGGCATCAAACATAAGCTGAGGACTGTTGGTTGTCTCCATAACAATTTTGAAACTATTTCAGCAGTAGTGAGATGTTGCCTTTGGAGTTGGAATTGTACTTCATACTGTTAACATGTGGGTAAGACTGCTAGTCTTTTCTCCCTACAAACTTACATAGCAGCTTCTGCCTTTGCAAAAGCTAGCCAACAGGGAGGATGCTTCTAGTGCACTGCAAGTTTAAGTGTCTATATATCACAATATGTCTAGTTCCTACAGCAATAAGCTCTTATTCTTACCCCATTGTTCTTGTGAGTGACCTAAAAGTCTGACAAGAGTACAGTTGCTTATTAGGAGACAACCCACTTTTGGTACTAGGATGTATGTTTAATAACTGTAGAGATGTTTGAATGAGAATTTTCTCAATAGTCTTTATTGATTGTTGTAATTTTTAGATTGAATTATTGGTTCCAAGTTGGTGAAATTTGGGGGGAAGAATTAGGAGGTATGTACTTCTTAGAGTAGGTGTTTCTTTGTTGGATAAAATGTGTCACTGGGGGTATCTTTGGGGTTTTAAAAGCCCACATTTGGCCCTGCTTCCTCCCTCTTCCCCCCAGCTACTTCTCAGTACCACATTTTTCTGATCATGGATTTACCTTTTGAATCTTTAAACAAGCACCCATTCAAATGATTTCTTTTATAAACTGCCTTTAATAGGAATTGAACAATAATTTAGATAGTACCTATGCTCTCTAGTAGCAGCATGTTCCTTCCGCATAAAGTAGCTGTTATTTGTCTTTATACATATATTTTAAATAGACTTACAAAACACAAGTTTTCCTTGTGCCTTTTCTATTCACCCTACATTTTGGTTAACCCTTCCAATACTATTCATCCTCAAACATTTGCAAAGTGATATCACTCTCCCCTACTTTACTTATGCTCTTGTCATTGTCATCAAATACCCTGACAAAAGCAATTTAAGTGGAGAGGATTGTGATAGCTCACAGTTCTCAGTTATGGATCTCTTTTCTACTCTTACAGAGCTGGATTCACTCCCTAATGAATAGTGGCAACCACTTTGGGTGTGTTTTCCCATTCCTATTAAAATATCAAGATAACCCTCTCCATATATGCCCTATCTGTTCTAGAAAATGCCTCACTGAGAACTTCTTGATTTATATTAGATATGCAAAGTTAAAATTTGAAATAACAACCACATTTACTTTATAATATCCTGCTCCCAAAAGGTGCCAAACCCCAAGGTTATTTCCAGTTTTGGTTTGTATGTAAGTTCTCATAGTTAACATGCACATTTAAATATTTGAAGCTAAACTCAACATATAACACATAATCTTCAGCATTTCTTTTTGGACATGGCTATCTCAATGAAAGAAGAGTGTCCCAGAGACATCTGTTTACTACAAGTTCCCAATTTCAGGTTTTATTTACAGATGAAAAATTCTATTATGTAAGCATATCACATTTTCTATGTCAATTAATAAGTTCATGGTTATCTAGGCAGATTCTGTTTCTTGATATTATGAATAGTCCAATGATGAACACTGATGTATAAGCATCTATAGAAGGATACAGAGTCCTGTGGAAATATGCTCAGGAGAGATATGACCAAGGCATATGGAAGTTCTATTTTTAAGTTTGAAGAAAACTTTGTTTCCATATCCTACTATGGAATGCTTCACAGATTTACAATTCATCCTTGTGAAGGGGACATGCTAGTTTTATTTGTATTTTTGCAAATTTTGTATGTGAGTTTCCAAAACAAGCACAATTATTGGTTGTCCTTAACCATAATTGTAGTTGGGACTATAGATTTCTTAAGCATTGGTGGTGCATGCCTTTAATCCCAGCACTCTGGAGACAGAGTCAGGCAGAGCTCTGTGAGATCGAGGCCAGACTGGTCTCCAGAGCGAGTGCCAGGATAGGCTCCAAAGCCACACAGAGAAACCCTGTCTCGAAAAACCAAAAAAAAAAAAAATCAAATGAAAGTAGTAATATAAAGAGCTCAGAAATTTAACTGTAAGAAGTTGAGATTGAGGGAGATTTAAAAGTTATACATATACATATACATATACATATACATATATGTATCAAACTACTAATGAAGGAGCAAAGAATTTGAAACACAACCTCGAATCATGCATAGGAAGTTTGGAAGGAGAAAGGAGGGATGTGATGTAATTATATTGTGATCTCAAAAGTAAAAGAAATAGTTGCACATAATTTTCCTTTTCTAAATAATTACTGTAATTGCTTCACAGATGATTGTGACAAACCAGGAGTATATAAGGCTATTAGAGTTTGGTTGAGGCATGATCTGGACAAATGGCTTGTATTTTCAAAGAAACAAAATTACCAAAACAAAAATTAACAAACTAATTTTCAAGAATTTGTCCCTGTAGAAAACCAAGAATCACTCATACAAATTTATTTGACTAAAATATCTTTGAAAAACAACCATCATTTTGTTTTCTAATTTCTTTTGGAAACATAATTTATAAGCACATTTAGGGAGTAATTATAAAGTAAGATTATTGATTTTACATCATCAGTCCAGAATTAAAAAGCTTTATTGAATACTGAAAGGTAGTAGAAAAACTAGTTAAACATTTTCTCATGATTTAAACACATGCCAATGCTAGATTTAAAGAGATTCCGGGAAGCGGTTGTCTCATATGGCATTCATTCATCATTTGTTAAGCATTTGTTAAACTCATAGTCAGTTGTAATAGAATTACTCCTAAAGACTGGATAGACTTGTTAATGTTATCTTAGAACCTATTCCACAATTAAAACATGGTACCTACCTGGTTCAGAGAAGAGGGTTAAAAAAAAAAAAGAAGCTTGATTAATCTATGCATCTGCTTTTTCTGTTTTTCAAGGAAGTATATTAATCCCATTTCATTTGAATTTCTGATGGCAAAAAGGTGTGACAATAAGATTAGTATTGATCAAGGAAGATCTACTTGATAGATGGTTCAATCAGAGTGGCCACCCCTAAACACATGAACAGAAAGGGAATACTAAAAGGCTTCATCTAGACATATGTCTATATTATGCAACAAAGATAATTAAAGAGTTCACAAGCTGGAGATGTAGGGTGCACTTTGAAGAATTGGACATAGGAGAGGGAAGAGTGGGATGATGAAAACAGACTAATATAGGAAATTTTCCTAAAACATAAAAAGAATACTGAGTAAAACTTCTAAGAATCACTATCACAATTTACAATATAAAATATGCATCTTTAAAAACCTTGATACAGTACACCAGACACTGAAATTTGAGACATCTTGTATTCAGCATTTTTAGTTTAGATTATTTAGAAACAATCTTATTTCACATATCAATCCCCCCCATTCCCTCACTCTCCCATCCCAGAATTCTCCCTACTGACTCTCCAACCCACCTCACATTCACTTCCCAAGGATAGTGAGGCCTGCCATGGGGCATCATGAAAGACTATCACATCATTTGGGTGAGGGCCTAGGCATTCCTTTGTGTATATGGGCTGCAATAATATCCCTCCATAGGGAATGGGTTCCCAAAGTCCATTTGTGTACCAGGGATAGACAGTGGCTACACTGTTAGAATTTCCATAGACTAACCAGGTGACCTAGCTGACATCCACATTCAGAGGGCTTGGTTCAGTATAATACTGGTACCTCAGGTTTACCACTGGGGTCTCTGTGCTCTCACTAGGTCAGGTCAACTGTTTCTGTGGGTTTCTCCAGCACAGTCTTGGCTCCTTTGCTCATCCCTACTGCCTTTCCACAACTAGATTCCAAGAGTATGGTTCAGTGCTTAACTCTGGGTACCTTCTTCCATCAGATGCTGGATGAAGGCTCTAGAATGAAAATTAAGGTTGTCAGCAGTCTCATTAAAGGGGAAGGGCATCAAAGGCAGCCTCTCCACTACTGCTAGTTTCTAACTTGGTGTCAAATTTTTGTGGGTCTCTGGACATTTCACTTGTGCCAGATTTCTCTTTAAACCTATACTGTCTCCCTCTATTAAAGTATCTCTTTTGTTGCTCTCCTCTATTCTTCCCCTGTCTCGGTTTTCCTGATCCCTTGTTTTCTTCCCCCTTCTCTTTTCCCCTTCTCTTTTTCCTACTTCCCTCCCTTCTTCCCCCATGCTCCCAATTTTCTCAGGGGATTGTTACAATAAATCTTTCTGCCAAAAGCCGCCTGAGCCCCACTGCGATGTATCAGCTTTATGACAGCTGCCTGCCCGAGTTAGGGCCCAAATGAATACACAAAAACTTGTATTAGGTTCAATGCTGCTTGGCCAATGACTAGGATTCTCATCTGTTACTTCAGTCTTAACTATCATAAACCTATATATTTTATAAGACTTATCTTATTGGATGCCTTATTGGCCTCCCTCCTTGTCGGTGGCTCACATCCTGCTGCTGGAGGAGGCAAACCGGAAAAAAAGGGCCCTTCCTGTTTCTCCTTTGATTAAATATCAGTCTCCTTGCTATGTCACTTCCTGCCTGGATCAGCACTTCTCCACTACAGTTCCCAGAATCCTCTTTGACTCTTAGTCCCATCTACTTGGTGTCTCATTGGCCAAACAGTATTTTATTTAACAATCAATAAGATAACCATACACAGTACATTCCCCATCAGGGGTTCTTGCCCATTTTTCCTTTGTGTTGCCGTGACTGTCTATGCTGGAAAGGATGTGGAGAAAGAGGAATACTCCTCCATTGCTGGTGGGAGTTCAAACTTGTGTGGCCATTTTGGAAATCAGTATGGCAGTTTATCAGAAAATGGAAATCAGTCTACCTCAAGATCCAGCAATTCCACTCTTGGGCATATACCCAAAGAATGTACATTCATACAACAAGGACAGATGTGCAACCATGTTCATAGCTGCATTGTTTGCAATAGCCAGAACCTGGAAGCAACCTAGATGCCCCTCAACTGAAGAATGGTTAGAGAAATGTGGTAAATTTACACAATGGAGTATTAGCAGAAAAAAATGAAATATTGAAATTCTAAGCCAAATTGTTGGAACTGGAAGAATGCATCCTAAGTGAGGTAACCTGTTGGGACCCAGCCCCCACAGGGTCTCTGTGAGTTGTTTTCCAGTATAACTCTGGTACCTCTTGTTTTTCTAAGCCTCGCCCACTAACATCCTGTTACAAACCTTTCTTATTATTGAAACATTATGCCTTGTCCCCATGCCCTTCTTGTTTCATGAGCTGTGGGTGGCTGTTTGGTTTCCTTGTTTATGATGGGGCATGGGAGTGCATTCTTCTAGAAGGTGATGTTTTTCCATCTCCTCTTATATATAAGCTTATATATATGGCATTTGCTTCTACTGAATGACCCGAGTTGTGTCCTTCTTAATCCGCAGACTCTTGCCTGGTTTGGTTCTTTGGTCTCTGGTGCTGGCACCGATGATAGTAACCTAATCACAGAAAGACAAACATAGTATATGCTCAATCATATATGGATATTAGACACAGAGCAAAGTACTACTATCCTATAATCCACACCACCACAGAAACTAGTATTCAGAATTTTTAATCTACATTTTGCTATTAATTTCAAATATGACTGCTAATTTATTTTTATATTTAAAATTTATATTTTACTTAAATATATGTATTTCTGTGTAAGTTTGAACTAATACCCTGTAAGTGTTGGCATACTCTCATGGTCAAAAGAGGCTGTTGACTCTCCTAGAGCTAGAATTAAATGAAGCTGTGTGGCACAGGACTAGGGTGGTAGCAACAGAAAATTGGCACTTCACAAAAGTTCCAAAAAGAGAACTCTTGACTGCTGAGCATACATCCATCAACTAGACTGTTAGTAACATTAAATAAAATAGTAGTAGTGCCCTTTGGTCTTCCCACTTACGTGTTGTTCCTGTTCAAGTAATTTAAATGGGTCTCCGTAAAATATTGAGATGATACCTAAATTGTATTTCAGTTTCACCTGGATAAGGCTAAAATATATAATGAATATTATTACCATTGTTAACGAAATTATCTAAAAATTTACATTTAAGTGATGTAAATGTATGCCTTCAAGTAATGACAAAATAAAAATCTTATTCTTCAATATACAATATTAAATAAATTAGAAAACAAGAAAAGTCCTTCTTGTGAACTGACATGTTTCCAGGCAATATATATCATGTTGTCTTTATTTTTCTGTAAAGAAGCCATCAATACTAACACATATTGAACATTAATACTAATAATATGTTAGATGCCTGCACCAATCTAGAATGGATTTATACTTAACCAAATAAATTGCAAAATAAATCAGAGTAGAAATAATTAATTAATAAAAGGGAATTATCCATGATAATTTTGTAGGGTTTTTAAATCACTAGATATATAAATGTGTCTACTGGCATATTTTGTCACCAGGAAAGAATACAAAAGAAACACTTGATCATTTGTTAACAAGGTATCTTCTCTAGATTTCAGAGGGAAATTTATCCAGGTGTAGTGAATTTGATATGACATACAGAAAGAGTTTCCAATATGTGATATGGTATGAGATAAGCCATGAGAATAATGTGTTTGTATGCAAAGGAAGACAAACAACACTGTTCTCAAACATGTCACATGAGAGATATTTCATTTTTGAGTGTTCTTTCTCACTTTTTATTCGATAATCTAGAGTTATCTACTAAAACTAAATTATTTTTTCCAAGAACACTAACATATATTAATAGGTTTATCAACATTTTTTGATATAAATAATTCTTATATACTATTATATCTATATATGTATGAAAAGGATAT